CGTCAGGCTCTGGGCTGATGGCTCAGAGCCTGGAGCCTGTTTCCGATTCTATGTCTCCCTCTGTCTCTGCCCCTCCCCCGTTCATGCTCTGTCTCTCTCTGTCCCAAAAATAAATAAACGTTGGAAAAAAAAAATTAAAAAAAAGTAGAACGACCGGCTAGGCCCCTGGGTGGGGGGGAGGGGGGCCCTCCTGCCCCTGTGGCGTGCTTCTGAACCTTTCCACTGCTTTCAGATCGCCAGACTCCCCCTCTGACTCTCAGACAAGGACTCTTCTCCTGGATCTGTGCTGTCCAGTACAGTGAATCCAAGCCCCATGTGGCTACTGAGAACCTGAAGTGTGGTTAGTTTGAGTTGAGATGTGCTGACTTACTATGGAAAAAAAAAATTAGATATCTCTTTAAAATAGAAAAATTTATATTTTATATAAATTAGGTTAAATAAAGCAGATTATTAAGATTAATTTCATGTGTTTCCTTTTACTTTTTCACCATGGCTACTAGAAAATTTTAAATTACCCATGTTGGGGTGCCTGGGTGGCTCGGTTAAGTATCTGACTTCAGCTTAGGTCACGATCTCGCGGTTTGTGGATTCGAGCCCCGCATCAGGCTCTGTGCTGACAGCTCAGAGCCTGGAACCTGCTTCAGATTCTGTGTCTCCCACTCTCTCTGCCCCTCCCCCGCTCACGCTGTCTCTCAAACTCTGACCCTCCCCTGCTCACACTCTGTCTCTCAAAAACAAACATTAAAAAAATATATAAAATTACCTATGTGGCTGCATTATATTTCTGTTGGACAGTGCTGCGCTGGATGTGTGATATCCATCCATTCCTTCCTCCCATTCTTATTTTTTCTGATCCTATTTCTCTTCTTTGCCACTGGTTCTTACCTTCCTCTGGTTGCCAGCAGTGCTCCTTACCTGAATTAGATGGTCTCTGACAAGGACGGCCCAGGCTAATAGAAGAGTTCACCTTTTAACACTTCCTTCTTTGCTTTGCATTAGAGTTGGCCGTGTGTGAGTCTGTCCTCTCTAAGCTTTCTGAGGGCACAGTCTTGTCACATTTACATTTATGGCCTCCTAGAGCAGCCTGTGGAGAGATGGGGGCTCTGAGTTACAACCAGAGACATTACAATTCTGCCTCCGTGGTGTCCCTGATTATTAAGACTGCTGTGTGGGTGTGCTGGGTTTGGGGAAGCCTTTTTCTTCTCCCCTTAATTCCCAGGAAAGCTTTTCTCCAGCCATCCTTTCTTTGGATGCTTTGATTAAGCACCTACTTCTCTGTGCTTAATGTTATGTTCTAAATGCTACTGCTCTGATTTTAGTCTAAAACTACATTATTTCAAACTTGTGCATGAACTCTGACCAGTTTCTTAAGCCCTCAGTCAGTATTTTAGAGTATGGTGTTTTCTTGATAACTGACGTCAGCCAGAAATCTCTTTTGTTGAGTCTTTTTTTAAATGCACCAGGTATTTAGATGTCTATTTGCCTTCCTCACACTGACCTTCACACTCCCTACTCCTCATACCTCATTTTGAAGGGACTCAAGTGCTTGTTCAAGTGTGTTACACTGAACAGTTTGATCCGGGGCCCTCTCCTGGAGCTCATTTTGATTTGCTTGTTATGGAATCTTACAAAGTTGGTTTTGTTTATTGCCTCCTCCTTCTAAAAGGCTGGTCCTCAGGACACAAAAGCAAAGCCCATTTAGAAGGGCTAATCAAGGGTTCTTGTTTTCTACTGAGGATTGTAAGCTGCAGTGACTTGGAGGTGGAAGGATCAGCCAGCTTATTTTGCATCTTCTCCGTCTGCATCCTCCTCAGCTGGCTGAATCGTCTTTCTCTGAGGCCCCTGAAGAACTACTTTGCTGCTTCCTGTGCTTACTGGAGGCCTAAATGGTTGTAGGAGATAATGGAAAGCAGAGAAGGAAGCTAAGGAGAACTAATTGATTTTTTTCCTGTAAAATTTTCCCTCTCTTTTTACAATTATGCGGCTTGACCAAATCAGATGAGTTCATTGTCTTCTTGCAGTTTAGAACCGAGCTTAAAACTCCCTCTGAGAACCTTGGGTTGTCAGAGAGAGAGGCTGAGATTAAGATTAAGGTAGCCTCTTGCCCAGGATGGTGGCTTCCAGAAGCCTCTGAATGATTATTTGCTCTTCCTGATGTTCTTCCATTTCTTGTTAACCCAGGCATCACTGAGAGGGTCCTTTTGAACACCTCTTTTATAAGATTTTTAAAAAAATTTTTTTATGTTTATTTATTTTTGAGAGAGAGAGCACGAGCAGGGGAGGGGCAGAGAGAGAGGGAGACACAGAATCCGAAGCAGGCTCCATGTTCTGAGCTGTCAGCACAGAGCCTGATGCGGGGCTCGAACCCACAAACCACGAGATCACGACCCAAACTGAAGTCGGACGCTTAACCAACTGAGCCACCTGGCGCCCCGAAAACCTGCTCTTTGCCACAACACTCCCACTCTGCTGTTTGCCTGGGCAAGAAGGCCATATTTTTTTCTTGTGTTCTTGGTGTCTTAACATGACCTTGCCCCCTCCCCCCCTTTTTTTTTAACCTCCATAGCCTCCTTACTTCCCTGGACCGGGGGCAACCTCTTTGCAATGCTGAGCCCTATGCATTTGACTGGTTTCCTTTAGCCTTCACAGATAATGTAAAAGAACCTATGTGCATGTATTTGACCGTACTAGGGTTGCTGTACTGTTGACAAACTTTAAGGCTCCCTCCAGCTTTGTCCATCTTTGATCAGATTCAGTTCTTCTTATAATTCTGCCCTTCTCAAGACCCCTCAGAAGCTTCCCTTGTCCTTTGAACATGTTACAAACACCTCCTGTTGCAGTCAAGACCGTCTGCAAGATGGTCTCATTGCTTGCCACTTTTTTTTTTGCACTAAACTTTCCTTATGCTAGGTGATCTCAAAGGTTCTCTAGATTTGGGCTTTACCGGCAGGAATACCAGCAGCAGGAGTGGCTTTAGAATCTGCAGCTTTTCCTCTGAGACCATCTTTCCCAGCGCATTGGACCTGTGAGTGGGTCCTGCCTGCTTTCGGAAGCTGCCCTGGGGTGCTCAGCATTAATTATGCTGAGGAAATGACCCAATTAGACAGTGCTAGGAGAGCCAGGGGATCTGTGGCAGCCTTGTTGCCCTGAACAAAAGAGGGAAAATGTAAAGAGTAAAGCAGTTTACAGAGGTTCCTTTGGAAATCCAGCTGGACAGCTTTTTGAACTAGTTGGCCAAAGTTGCAAGAGGCACCAGGAGTGTGGTGGGTCTGTCTTCCTCCTGTTTAAGACTTTGGGTGAGGTGGGTGGCATGGGAAGAATCTGGAGAAGGCATGTCTCTAGAGGGCACTGGGGCACTTACTTGGGCTCATCTGCTAGTTTCAGAGAAGCTGCCCAGACCTCTTCTTGTGCATCCCTGTGGCACCCACCCTGGCGTTATTGTCTGATAAATCTTTATAGATGAGTCTTTTCTCCTCATCTCAGCAATACACACCTTGAAGGCAGGGAGCCATCATCTCTTTTTCGACATGACCTACCCCCCAGCCTGGCTGGCAGTCTGCCTGCTTACTGGCAGTCTTTAGGTTGAAGGGAAGTGGTATTTGATAATAGGCTGTAAGGGCATCTCTGTGCAAGGGAGCGGTGGGCAGTCTTGTGAGTGGGAGAGGGTTCAGTCAGGCTCCAGGTCCGTTAGAGGAAGTGGAAAAAAAAAAAAAAAAAAACAGTTCTTATTTTCATACCAATGTTCTTGTGATAATCAGGATGGGGGCAGGATATTTGTCAGCAAAATCAAATGTCCGTTGGAATTTTCTATCTTTTATATTAGTAAGGCTTTTGGAAAGTTGAAGTTCATGGTACCTGGCCATCCTGCCAGCATGTCTTCTCCCCCAGCCTAGCCTTCCAAACAGAATTTCCTTTAGTGCCCCTGTTGTGTATCTCCTGTTAGGGCTAAGCACAACCCACAGTCCATTGCCTGACTTTTAACTCTGCAGCGTCAGTCTAGGATTGGAGGTGCAGGCCATGGAATCAGAGGTCACCCTTCTCATCAGGCCGCTTAGACCTTCCTGTTCCTCTGACTTACTGCTACAACTCATCTACACCAGGGTTCTCACCACACTTGGACTCCATTTGCCTAACTGACCTGTTTGAAAGGAGGTGACCAAGACATGCATACTTCTTAAAGGCCCACTCAGCTCCTGGGGTAGAAGCAGTGTCTACTGGTGGAAAGAGCACAGGTTTTAGAGTCAGAAGACTCGACCCTGCTCTCGGGTCTGCCCTTTACAGTGCCTTACGCTTGGCTAAAGTCATTTAACTTCTGTGGGTCAGTGTCCTCATCGACAAAGGGGAGTAATGATAACTAGGTCTTGGAGCTGTCAGAATAAAGGGATAGAAGGTGAAGATGCTTTTAAAGCTAAATAGTCTCGCCTGAGCGAAAGCTGTGGGCTTTACTGTGGGATAGAGACCAGTGCTGGCGGGGACTTCTCCAGTCAGGAGGAGGGCAGTACATGGGGGCTTGGGAGGGCCAGGAAATCCATCAGAAATCCCCTCTCAGGCCACGAAGGCACATTTTTATCACACCATGGCGTCTTTTCTGGTATTGTTATCAGAAACAGGGCTAACGTTTCCCTTGCACAGGTTGACAGTGTTTTACCACCTTTCACTCTGATTCATTGTGTGTTTCAGTAGGTTTTATCAAAACTATATGATGTGCTAGGTCTCTGAGTTCACGACTGTCAGAGTCTGTCACTCCCTCATGGGTGTGGTTCTCCCAAGGCACATACAGAGCAAGAGGGGAAATGTTGCAAGCAGCCAGACTTTCCCTGCAGCCAGCGTGCTTCCTTTTGTCACTGGCAACCTGAATTTCCAGAGTTTGGCCAACAGCCTTTCTAAGAGAATGGCTCTCAGATCCTCCTGCATTTCCTGTCCTCCTCGACAGCACGGACAGGATCCCACTGGGAAACCTCACTGCTGTATCCCCACGCACTCTCTCTCTGTCTTTGCAGTGTGTTCCCTACCCCCGGAGCCAGAGAATGGTGGCTATATCTGCCACCCCCGGCCCTGCAGAGACCCCCTGAACGCGGGCAGCGTCATTGAGTACCTGTGTGCTGAAGGCTACATGTTGAAGGGTGATTACAAGTACCTGACGTGTAAGAATGGAGAATGGAAACCAGCCATGGAGATTAGCTGCCGTCTCAATGAGGGTCAGTCTGGCAGATGAGAAAGGGGGGCTGCTGGGGTTCTGCTTCCTTTAAGCTGATGGGAAGTGGCGCCCACTTCCTCCAGAACACCTGTGCTGTGGGCGGTGTAGCTCCTTTGATGCCCCTCAGCCTCCCTTCCTTTGGGATTTCATGTCTTTGTAAAAGACGTTTGGGGTTGCTGGTGCGTGTCCCACTGCATTTCAGCTGAGCCACCGAGGGGTTTGGTAGCTTTATCGAGGCATCTGTTCTGCTTTGTAAAGTCTCTTTGATGCTTAGGATCTCTCGTTTGCCCAGCCAAGTGCTGGTGACCTTTGGCCATGTTCTGCTAACACCTTCTGGAGTGTCTCTTTTATATTATTTTTCTTTGAATGGAAATGGACTGTTTGTTATAGAGCTACAGTCCAGCTGGACAGAAGACCCCTCCAGCCTCCTCCTGTCATCCATGACAGGAAAATCCAACTGTCTGCAGGAAAGTATGTGTCCTACAGCTGTCTTCGTGCCTCACACTCGGGCTCCTAGACCATGACACCCTAGAGATGGATGGGGACCAGCCTGAGATTTGCAACTGAAGTTACAGGGTCTTAGAACAGGGGATCACAGCCCAGTTCTTACCAGTTTTCCTGCCACATGTGGGGAAACATGGGTGGGACCTAGGATGGTGGAAGACTGTGTCCATGCACATGGTTGATGCCTACCAACCTGCTACTGAGGACAGGATCAGAAGTGGTTAGTAAAAGCCAGATCTCTAGGGGCATGTGAGGTTAGGTGTGAGATGGTCCTCAAAGGTCTGAAGTGAAGAGAATTTTAGATTCGAGAACAGGATGGGGAAATGACCCCTTACCTTACGTGTAAAAGCTGCTCCACACTTAGACTTCCAAAATGGCCATGGCCATGGCACCGTGCAAGGGACCTTTGACGAGATCAGCTGTGGGGCTCACATGTTATGGGTCTGGGCACAGCACCCTTCTGATGATGATTTTATTTCTGTAGACAAAGATGCCCACACATCACTTGGGGTCCCCACGCTGTCCATAGTTGCTTCCACTGCCAGCTCCGTGGCACTCATTCTCCTCCTCGTGGTGCTGTTTGTGCTGCTGCAGCCGAAGCTGAAGTCGTTCCATCACAGCAGGTGAGGCCCGTGGTCGGGGGCAGCAGGCATCGCCATGAGGCCTGGCCTTTGACTGCAGAGGGGTGCTTGTGGGCCTGGCAGCCTCTTCTGATGTGTGTGCCCAGGGGAAGGGGAGGGCCCTGCCATGTGTTCAACTCCTGGATATGCCTGGCACTGTGCTTATCATTTTGCTTATTATTAGCTTAATCCTCATTGGATCATTGCAGATAAGGAAGCTGAGGCTCAGAGAGATTAAGTCAAGGTCGTGACTCCTCTAGATGATGACCACCTGGAGATTTGGACCCAGACTTGTCCAAACCCCAAGCCTTGTCATTTGTCCTATACCAGTGGCTCTCAAAGTGTGGTTCCAGCAGCATCAGCATCACCTGGGGACTTGTTGGGAATTAGAATTTTCAGGCCCCACCCCAGACCAACTGAATGAGAAACTCTAGGGCTGAGACCCATCCACGTAGTTTCATAAGCCCTCCAGGTGATTCTGAGGCAGGCTCTGTTTGCGAGCCACTGCCCTGGCCCCCTAGTTCCCAATCCTGACTGCACATACAGGCATCTGTAGGGAATTAAACACAAATACCAACACCTAAGCCTCTATCCCCAGACATTTTGATTAATTTGGTTTGGAGTGGGAGCCTAGCATTAATGTTTTTTGTTTTGTTTTTTATTTTTTTTTTTATTATTTTTTTTTTAATGTTCATTTATTTTTGAGGGAGACAGAGCGTGAGCAGGGGAGGGGCAGAGAGAGAGGGAGACACAGAATCCGAAGCAGGCTCCAGGCTCCGAGCTGTCAGCACAGAGCCTGACGCGGGGCTCAGACTTTCAGACCGTGAGATCATGACCCGAGCCGAAGTCGGACGCCCACCCAGGCACCTCTGTTTTGTTTTTGTTTATTTTTGAGAGAGAGAGAGAGAGGGAGAGAACGAGTGGGGGAGGGGCAGAGAGAGGGGGAGACAGAGGCTCCAAAGTGGGCTCTCTGCTGTCAGCATAGATATAGGGCTTGAACCCATGAAATGTGAGATCACAACCTGAGCCAAAGTTGGACGTTTAACCGACTGAACCATCCAGGCACCCTGTGGCATTAGTGTTTTTTAAAAAGCTCCCAGTGGTTTTAATGCGCGGCCAGGATGGCAACCACTGTGCCATACTGTGCTAGAAACAGAGGAAGTGGGGGTTTTTGCCCACCTTTGTCACTTTCCTTTTTCCAGTTGAGTGCGCTGCCCACAAGTCATCCCAGACTGGGTAGATGGGGGAGGGGGTGGCAGTGGTGGGGGGACTGGCCCTGAGGGTATCCCTTAGGGGAAACTCTGCCCCCTGGGCTGTCACGGCCCCCTGCAGTTTTTTGGGCTGCCCCGGCAGCTCCTCATTCCCCTGAGAATAGTTGATGTGCACTCACAGCCCTTTATCAGTCACTGTCGTCATCCACAGGCATAGAGGAACAAGCTAAGTTGTGTTAAATCAAACGCTTCCTGGTCTGGAATTTACAGACCAGACTCAGGCTGTTTCATCTTTGTGTACTTGTGTGATTTTTCTTTCTTCTTTCTATTTTGTTTTTTTCAGGGGCCGGGGTGGGGGGGGCGGGCAGGTAGTAGCTATTTGTTTTTTCAAGGTTGTTACACAGTTCGTAGAATGAAGAGGAACTATTTGAAAGAATTGGCTATTTCCATGTAAAGTCAAGCTGATCTGTTTGTTGCTTTATCCAAATTAGGGAGTGTTTTCCCTTTGTAGTTACCTGGTAAGTGTGTTAAAAGTAATTGGCTGATTTTGCCTGACTTGAGTGGAAGAAAGATTTATTTGTTTGTTTGTTTGTTTGTTTGTTTATGGGCCCTGTTCAAATTTTGTATTGTGTTACACATATTACTTTTTTTTAATTAAAGGGTTTTTTTTTAATGTTTATTTACTTGAGAGAGAGAGAGACAGAGAGAGACAGAGAGTGAGCAGGGGAGGGGCAGAGAGAGAGAGAGAGAGAGAGACAGAATCTGAAGCAGGCTCCAGACTCCAAGCTGTTAGTTGGAACTCACAAACCATGAGATCATGACCAGAGCCAAAGTCCGATGCTTACCCAACTGAGCCATCAAATTAAGGCACCCCTTAATTTTTTTTTAATGTTTATTTATTTTTGAGAGAAAGAGAGACAGAGCATGAGCAGGGAGGGGTAGAGAGAGAGGGAGACACAGAATCTGAAGCAGGCTCCAGGCTTTGAGCTGTCAGCACAGAGCCCGACATGGGGCTCGAGCTCACAAACTGTGAGATCATGACCTGAGCCAGAGTCGGATACTTAATCGACTGAGCCACCCAGGCGCCCCCACGTATTATATTACTTTTTAAACAACAACAAAACGCATTTTGAATAACAGAAGCTAAGCACGTACCAGAATGCACAGTGCTTTCTATGTCACCTTGCCATCAGTTTCCCTTCCTTCCAGAAACCTCCAGGCACTTCTGAGTACCACTTCTGTCATCCTCACAGTGTCTATGCCATTTGAATTGGTAGCATAGATTTTATCTGCAAGTACAGATGAGGAAATTAAGAGCTAATAACAGTCTAGCAATAGTAATGTGGTCCAGTCATGGAGCTTCTGTGTGTTCTGGTGTAATACCCTGAGGAGAACACAGCATCACAAATGATACAGTGTTCCAGGCAAAAATTGACTGGAATCTTAATCCCAAGGAAACAATTAAGTCCGGACTGTGGACTGTGGGACATCGTAGGAGACAACTGGCCTGGATTCTAACAAAAGGTATCCTTGTCATGAAGGAGAAGCTATCGTGGACTGTTCTAGAGGAAAGGAGATAGAATAGGACTAACCACAATGCATGAGCCCTAATTGGGTCCTCAAACAAACGAGACTGCAGCTGAAACAGATATATTTTGGGGTATTTAGGAAAATTTGAATGACAGTATTATACCATTGTTAAATTTCAAGGAGGTAATAATGTTGCAGGTATGCAGAAGAGGTTCTTCGGAGGGGTGTGCTGCTGAATAATGTTCTATTTAGCCATAAATAACTTACTTTCAGAATGGTTCAGGAAAAAAGTGTGTTTATATCAAAAAGTGATAAAAAAAAAAGGTGTTTGCATAAATAAATCTCACACAAAGTTCAGTAAAAAAAGCCAGATACACATACACATATGTACACACACATTCATTGTATATCCCATTTATATAAAGATCAAAAGTACGCAAAACTCAACTGTGGTGTTGAGGGGTTCATTTTAGGCAGTAAAACTATTGAAATAGAAAGCAAATGCCTGATTGTCATGTAAGTTAGGATAGTGGTTACTTCCGGTGTGAGGAAGTAGGGAGTCATTGGGACAGGAAGCAAGGGTGTGTGGGGTGCTGGCGGCATGCTCTTTCTTGACCTCGGTAGGGGCAGTACCTTTGGGATAAAACAGCTGTATATTTTTCTATTTTGTGTGTGTGTGTGTGTGTGTGTGTTGTAATTCACATGTATTTTTAAGTTAAAGGTAAAAAGGCAAGCAGGGCACCTGGGTGGCTCAGTCCGTTAAGCGTCCAGCACTTGGTTTCAGCTCAGGTCATAATCTCACGGTTCGTGGGTTCGAGCCCCACATCGGGCTCCACTCTGGTGATGTGGAGCCAGCTTGAGATTCTCTCTCTCCCTCTCTCTGCCCCTCCCCCCCCCATGTTGTCTCTGTCTCTCTCAAAATAAATACACTTTAAAAAAATTGAATAAAATAAAGGGCAAGTACAGTAGCTGAGTCACAGGAATAGAATTCTTCACATTTTGACTCTGGCGTCCCAAGACCACAATGCTTCTTTTCCCTCTCCTTTTTTTAACCACTGCTGCATGGAAATTTAATTCACACACCACACAGTGTACCCACTTAAAGCGTTCAGACACTATATTCACAGATATGTACAAGCATTACTTTCTTACTTTCCTGTCCTCCCTGTGCTGCATACTGGCTTTATTTCTACGTCTCTAGGTTCCTAGTTTTTACACCATATGAGAGGGCTGGGTGCCTGGGTACCCAGAGGGTAAGAGCCCAGGAACTGGATTCACATCCCAGCTTCTTCCCGCACCAGCTGTGTGACTGGGCAGGGTACTTGACTTCTCTAAGCCTCATCTGCATTCTTGGTGAATCTGTACCTGAAAGGGCTCACCTGCGGGTTCAGTGGGATAAAGCGCTTAGTGCTGTGCCTGGCACGTTGTAAGTGCTCAAAACTGGTTGGCATTGTTGGTGTCGTTGTTGGTATCTATTTCTTTGTGTATTTTCATTCTTCCTTTGTCTTTTTCTCTTCTGGATGCAGGCGCGACCAGGGGGTATCTGGCGACCAGGTTTCCATCATGGTGGATGGAGTCCAGGTTGCGCTACCGTCCTACGAGGAAGCTGTATACGGCAGTTCCGGTCACTGTGTGCCTCCTGCTGACCCCAGAGTGCAGATCGTGCTGTCAGAAGGGTCTGGGCCCGGTGGGAGGAACGGACCAAGGGAGCAGCAGTTGCAGGACCAGGGGGCCTGTTCCTCTGCAGGCGGAGAGGAGGAGGCCCCGGGCCAGTCTGGACTATGCGAAGCCTGGGGCTCTCAGGGCTCAGAGACTGTGATGGTGCATCAGGCAACCACCTCTTCCTGGGTGGCCGGCTCAGGGAACAGCCGAGTGGCATACAAAGAAGCCCCAGATTCAGAGAACAGTGACATACAAAGCCTTTTATCCCTCACATCGGAGGACTACACAGATGGTAGGTGGTCTGCACTGATTGTGAATTATGAGCTGCTCGGGGGCCTTGCTGGGAGTGAGGAGGGACTGTGAGTCTCTCTCATAATTGGGTATTTGGAGGCAAAGGAAGATAATACCTGGGGGATTAGCCTGCAGAACAAGGCCTCACCCTCAGTTCCTGGCAGGGCTTTGGGCTCTGTGTAGGAGACTTTTGACCGTTGTCTGTGAATCTTCGTAGTTTAGAGTTTCCAAAACTATTTGTGGTCATAGGCCTGTGCTAAATCAAAGAGAGGACAGCTGCCTGGAGGCGGGAGTAGGGTCTGTTCTCTTGTGATAATTTTTATGTTCCTGAAAGGACAGGAGTGACAAAGAGGTATGGGGTCATGTTACAGAGAAAACTGGAGCCAGTCTTTCTTGCCCGGGATTCAGCAGTTTCATTTTCAACAGGACTATGCAAGTCCTGTGCTAGTTGGTTTTCTTACACTGTGTCAGTTAAACCTCACAGCGATCCTGAGAAGTAGATACTATTACCATCCCTATTTTACGGATCAGGATACTAAGGCCAGAGAAGGTGTCACTTGCCCATTGGTAGTAGCTGAGCTGGGATTAGAGCCCATGTTTATAACCCCACAGTGCCATGCTACCTCTCAGGTGACTCTGGGTTCTTGGTGGCAAGCCAGCCATAGAAGGAAATTGCCAACTCCTGACCTACCTGCCTCTTCTGGGGCCTGGAGAATTGAATATCGGGATTGACTCTGTCACTTTAAAAAATATCTTTATATGAAACCCCAGTGCTTTTCAGGATGCAGGCTAAACCTAGAGGTTTCCCTTTTGACAGTAGGTTTCTGCACTTACCAAGCCCCTCCGAAAACCAGTGAGGAAGATGTATGTGCCCTGGAGGTCCTGGGTGCCATTAATGTCTGAGTTTGAGAGTATCTGAAAGCAGAGAAGTTGGAAATTCTTGAATGCAGATCATATTTAGGGGTTTCCTGAATCAACAGCATGCCTTCTTTCCTCTTGGTGGGATATAGAGCTGGGAAGGGGCCATTACCTAATTGACCTGCATTTAAAGGTGGAAGCCAGTGACCCAATGGACAGCCAGCTGTGCATGTTATGTGTCTGTACATTTTTAAAAAAGTTTTTTTTAATGTTTATTTTTGAGATAGTGAGAGACAGAGCGTGAGCAGGGAAGGGCAGAGAGAGGAGGAGACACAGAATCTGAAGCAGGCTCCAGGCTCTGAGCTGTCAACAGAGCCCGACTTGGGACTTGAACCAATGAACCACAAGATCATGACCTGAGCTGAAGTCGGACGCTTAACCGACTGAGCCACCCAGGCGCCCCTGTGTGTCTGTATGTATTGACACAGGTCCCAAGTGTACTTCTCAGCCCTTATCTTTGCTAAGGAGCCCTGATGGTGCTTGCTCCTCTCCCTTCTTCTCCTCAGTACCTTGCTTTGTTCCATTTATTGAACAAACATTTTTGAGAACCTATCTTGTGTCTGGTGCCAGTTAGATTTCTGAAGTGATAGAAAGTAATTTGAAACATGCTGTCTGCCTGCATGGATTGTCTTGGGAAGATCGGGCCTATATTCAAGAAATATGGAACCAGGAGTTGTAGGGTCTGTGTCAGTGTGAGGGGCACAGAAAACAAGATACATCGGTCATTGCAGACTGCCTGTGCTGTCTGAGGCTGACAGCACCGTAGGAAATCAGGACCATGAGGCATCCATGTAACCCGATGGACATAAAAGGAGACCCGAGACCCAGGGAAGGAAGTGAGTTATTCGGTATCACACAGCTGGTGATTGGCTCTAAGGAGGAGGTAGGACCTAAGCAGGGCTCAGCAGCCTCATAGGGTGAGATTAAGGGTAGAAAGAGAAGCAACTAGACCAGCAGAGTCAAGGCAGACAGGAGATTCAAGGTGGTGGGACCAGAGGGGGTTTGAGTACTAAACATTCAGAGTTTATCACACAGGTAGGGGGAGAGATGAGCAAGGAAGGCCTAAAGAAGGGGCGAAGGGTGTAGACTCCTCTAGAAGGTATGAGTGAAGCATTTTGTTTCTTCAGACCAGGGCCTGCATGGGAAGCATGCAGTGGGATCAGACGTGCTGCAGAGAGACCCAGCAGGATAACCACTGTGCTTTCCTTCCTTCTCTTCCTGCAGATATCCCGCTGTTGAAAGAAGCATGAGTGCTGCCACGGGCCTCTCCTCTCTGCAACGGTCCTCTCTGCCCCTCTTCCCTCTCCCTGTGGGTTTGAGTACGCCATACTCCAGCCACCCTACCCGGATACCTGAGCTGCCACCTGTGTATCTGTGTATCTCTGTATCTCTGAGGGCCTCCAGGCCCACCTTGCTGGAAACTCAAGATGATTCTCGCCATCTGCCCGCTGGACAGCTGGAGGAGCTGGCATTTTGCCTACTCCAGCCTTCCCATCTGTGTCGGAGACATTTGAATGTGCTGGACTGAACTCTTCCTTTCCCTGAGCCCTCCTGGTCCCCTCCAGCCAGCTCTTTGGCGGCAGACCCCACCAGCCTGCGTGGGCCTGAGAGCCGCTGTGTTTACTCGTGCCTTCCCCCACCCAGCCCATTCGGTTTCCCTGTCATGCAGGCTTGTTGCTGTCCTACAAGCCTTGGTGGCTGCACTGCTGCCCTCCGGCACACAGAGGGCCAGGCCTGGGTCTGGGTCTGGCCTGTCACCTTTGAGGGCTGGCACCACTGCCCTTAGCAGGAGCAGATCCAAAAGTGGCTCTAATTAGGGCAAGGATGTGGGTGCCCGGGCCTGCCCTGGGTTGACACCCGTGGCACATTTCTTTGGCTGAGGTTGGAGGATGTGGAAAATCACGCCAAAGCTATCCCAGCACCCAGGTGTCCAGCTCAGAGGTTCTGGCCCCTGGCCCTGTTGAGTTTCTGAGAAGCGTTGAAAAGATCCTGAGGGAGGGAAGGAAGGTGGCTGATGGGTGATTGTCTTCCTAATATGCAAATTCTCACTTCCTACTTCTAGCACCGGCCTTCCTGGCCTTGGTCTTTTCTGTTTCACTGGAGTGTGAAGGGAAGTGGCCTGCTGCCTCCTGGGTTTTGGTCCTTGGCAGCCCCAGCTTCCTTGCTGCCCACAGGGGCCCGAGGTGAATCATCGCTGGGATGGGAGAGTTGCTGAGGTGCCACGGAAGGTCTGTGTGGCCAGTGGCATTTGGGGCACGTTGCCCCGTTCTGGGTTCGTGGTGATGGAAGGGAGCCTGAGAGGCACAGACCGAGTCCCCAGGCAGCTGCAGGCAGCTCCAGCCCCGGTCCTGAGGGTCCTCGTCACCACAGTCACGTGCCTTAGTAACTGTGCCCAGGAAGCGTGCTGCTGCTTGCTGCACTGCTGCTTTCCCTGCTTGTGTCTCCCCTGCCACCCTTCCACACGCCAGCCCACCAGCGAGTCCCTGCTCTCTCCCTTGGCCCCCCTGCCACCCTTCCACACGCCAGCCCACCAGCGAGTCCCTGGCACCTGGGAGAGGGGCCGACACTCCTGTACATCCCCCTTGCGGGTCTGCAGCGGGTGAATGATTGCGAGGCAGCCTGGCTCCGGGTCCTGGAGTCGGAGCGGGTGGGCTCGGTGCTCCCAGATGCTCCTGCTGGGGGCTCTCGCTCTGCCACGTGTGAATGCTGACCAGGGCTGGGGTGGCAGAGCTCAGCCAGGCTGCTGTCATCCTCAAAAGACGTGGCATTAAAGAATGCTTGTTTCTGTTTTGTTTTTGAAGCGCTGGGGCTGGGAGACTTGTAGCTGAGCCCACCTGTACCTCTGCTGCTCCCCAGCCGCTCTGTTTGGGATGGTGAAAACAGTAAAGAACCCAGTCTATTTTTAGTACCTGACCTAACAGGGTAGCTCCAGGCGTGGTTGGCCGCGAAGATTAAGAGGAATGGCCTCCTCTCAGCCTCCCGCGCCACTCTCAACACGCACTTTACCACCTGCCCGCTCCTGGCCTCCTGGCGCCACTGTAGTCTTCCTTCGCTCAGGGTAAGGGCAGTGCCTTCTGGGCCTGCGGGCAACCCCACACCTCCCCCCTTCCCCACCCAGGAGCCCTCATGTGCTGTGCGCAGAGCCCTGGCTGGCGTGTTTCCATACAGAGCAGGTTGGTGAAGGTGCTGGAACACAGAAGCCTCTGAGGGACATGCTGCAGACCAGGGGGCCTGCCCTTGCCTCCAAAGAGGCCATTTCCGGAGATGTGCCTGTCAGTGGTTGCTGGCACGGGGCGCATCTGGAGGGTAGGGTCCCTACAGACCCTAGTTGCCTCCTTTACCCACAGGGGTGCCCTGTCTTCCTCCAGAAAAGAGCAGGGACAAATGGCGGTGGGGGGCGGGGGTTGGGGGGCGGAATCCAAAGTCTCACTGTTGAGCCTGCAGCCTGAATTCTAGTCTAGAATATTTTTAAAAATGGAAGATCTTACCCTTTTTTATATCATTACTCTGGATCTTTCCCTCCCTAAGAGATTATGCTATTTAAGGTTTACTCAGCCGAGTAGGTGACCAACTTAGCCCTTGGGGGAAAAAATGAAAAATGAAAAGCCTTTCTTCTGAAGCCTTCTTCCACCTTGCTCACCATTAACACCGTCCTGCGGATCACAAGCCCAGACTTACCTACCTGGTAGGAAAGAAAGTCTGGATAAATGGGAACCTAGCATATACACACCCTTGCCACCTCTCTCCCGTCCCCTCTGTCCCTGGCTTTGCTGAGGCCCACCTCCCACCTCCCACCTCCCAGGGCCTGTCGGGGGAGGATCCAGGCCTCCCATTGCAGCTGACATCCTTGCTGGCTTCTTCTCTCGCAGTTCTCTTCTCTGAAGCAGTTTCTTAGCCATCAGCCAGGTGCTGCTGTTTCTAGAGCTTCTGGGGTTTGTCCCTTTCAAGGGATTAGGGACTCCACAGCTGCCTTGAAGTGGGGCCTGGCTGAGAGATCAGGGCAGTGGCAGGTGGCAGGCTGTTGGGCAGGAGGCTGCCAAAGGATCCCAGAGCAGGTGGGAAAACCACGGCCCTGGCTTTCCCGGGCTCACCTCTAGGGGAGTCCAGCAGAGGGCTTGTCCAGGAGGGTAGCCGGCACCAAAGGACTAAAAGTGTCTTTTTGCACACATGAGCTGACTCAGTGGTTTTCTATCCTGCTGACTTGCCAGCGACTTTCGAGGGCCAGTATGTGGTGAAAATCACTTAAGGTTTCCGTCCCTTTCAATGCCTTAGTTTAGCAGATAGGCTCTCTCTTTTGCCATTTCTGAATGTTGTGTGTGCCGTGTTCCCATCTCACTGGTGTGAACTGTGAAATGGACTGAGTCCCAGCCACTTTGTGAGTTCTTTTGGCTTTATAAGGCACTTCAGTGTGCATTCTACTAACACTCCATTTGCAAACAGAACTTAAGCTAACGTCTTCTCCATTCATCCTCCCCCTCCT